GACCGTATCCCACTTACCTCCGTCTGAGGCAGCAAGGAAAGAGCAGGGAGGAGAGAGAGGGAGAGAACACATGGGACATTAGAGAGGTGAAGTGGATAGCCCCGCTGTGTCTCAGGCAGTACGCTGAAATCAAATTCTCATCCAAACACAATCTATTACTCCTGTCAGATGGAGCATTGCAACATCTAGAGAAAAAAAACACTCCTCTAATATGTTTGTGTCATAACCATCCTACAGAGCTTAATTTGAAAGACAGCACGGTAATCACTCTTTGGTGTGATTTCAATATTCTAAAGTGATTCTCGTGACCCATCTTTATCAGGGTGTGCACACACACACACACACAGGTTTGGGAGCTTGACTAGCACCATGATATTCACGCACAAGAGGATTAGGGCTCCTTTGACTAATCTCTGCCATCTCCACAATCCTGTCATGTTTTTTTTTTACATTTTATCTGATTGAGTTGGCTCCTAGGGGAAATTCCCCTCCTTGAAAAATGTATTATCCAGTTTTCTCTTTAGGGTTTTACACCAAGTGTACCTACAGTCATTTATAAAACAAAAGCGTTCAGTCAAAACTTTATGGTTATCACCCATACCTTCATAAAATGAATGTGTCCTTTTCAAAATACTGTTTAGAGAAACAGTATTTAGAGAAACACTTGAAAAGTTAAGCATGCACAACTTTTATGTGCATCCGTAAAATCCTGACATCAGTCAGGATGGGGTCACTTGTAAGTAAAGACTATCAAGCTATTCTTTTTTTGTGTGTTCTGTGAGAGCGTGTGTGTCATCAGCTGTGCGTCTGGACTCACCTTTCATGGCCTCGGCGATCTGGACGAGCTCCGTCACACACGCTGCCACATGCTTCGAGTGCACAGCCAGCTGCTGCTTCTGCTCTGGTGTGGGCTTCTGCAGCACCTGAAAACACAAGAGCCAAACATGTGCAAAGGCACACACACACACACACACACACACACACACACACACACACACACACACACACACACACACACACACACACAAGAAGCGAAGCAAAGGTAAACACAAGGTAAAAGATTAGTCAGAGATAATTCTTTACAAAACAAATCTGTTCATTTTTAATCTTGATTACATGTTAAGAATTCAGAGTATAATTTATAATTAACTTGCTGAAAGACACTAACCTATGTTGCAGAATGTAAAAGTTGAGGATCCGTTTTTGTTACTTGAGCAACTATTTCTGTAACTAAGTTATATATTGTGGATTTTAAAGTCCTTCGTGTGCCTGATGTCTTGCCAGACTCGGTATGATGTGCCCATTAATTATGCAAACGAGAGCCGTAATTATGATACTTAATGCATTAACTGGCAATTTGTCTCACATGGACACACTTGTCTTCACGCAGTCTTCATGCAGTAATTTTTGCAACAAAGCAATTTCATCATAATGAGTTGCTAATTTATATGCAAATATATTCAACAACAGAAAAAATAAACAAAAATCAAAATCAGATTTTCTAAAGGCTTGCATAGCGGCCTAACACAATTTTTGCGTTTTATCCTATGAGGAAGTCTGAGACTTTTTTATCAGTGCAGGGTGAGTGCAAGAGGCCAGGAGATGCACACAAAATCACTTGTATCCTTTATTTATGAGACTACTTCTTTCCAACCTGCAAGACTTGCTCCAGAAGGTTGATGTATCCGGTGGTGCACTCAGAGCCATATTGCAGGGCTTTACTCCTCAGTTCCTCACTGACTTCAGGGTGATATGCTGCTTGCTGCAAGGGTAAGAAAACAATACAGGAGAACAGGAGATTTAGGATAGGACACTGAAATTGTTCCCATAGGAAAGGTAACATTTAACACGAGTGCAAATGCGCTGCGTGGGGTCAGGGAGAGCATATTGAGAGAGCATTTTGCACATTACATAGTTCCAATTACAGATAAAATTCAAAGCTACCAGAAAATCAAGTCTTCAGTCACTGTTGTGCTTTGATTTTTAAAACCACAGCCTGCAATGTTTGTACATGGTTTTATTTTTGTCTTTTTACAAGCGCCCTGCTGTTTGCTGAAGGATGTCCTGAGTGATGCTTCGCTGCATGACTTTGAAAAGTGACTGAGTCATTAGCAGTGGGAGCAGACATACAGTAAACTAGCCTCTGTAATATCTGCTCTCCACAGGCTGGGCTCACATGCTCCCTGGCAGCCTGGTGCTGTCTGCGTGAGGTCTGCTTTGGTCGAGCAGTGTGGATTAGCACCTTGCAGGTAGTCAGCATATCGGAGATGGCTTTGCGGCTCAGGTTGGCAGTGGCGATCACGTCCTCCTGCTGAGCAGAGTTGCCTGCGGCCACTGCCTTGGCTGTTGCTATGGTGATGCCCTTTGTCATGCGGGTGAACTCCTCAGGTGAAGTGGACTTTTCTGGGACGTCCTTGGACTGGAACACCTGACACGATGATGAGCCACAAGCACAGGTTGATATAGCCATGGAGCTCAGATATGATAATACACGAGTGCACGTGAATGTTGTAGAGCAGTTATAGACTTAAATGGACAGAAAATATTGACATAGAAACCAGAATAATTAGAATGTAAGGTCATCTGATAAGAATTAGCAGTTTATTCAAGGGAAAAAAACAGTCTTAAAATCTTCCTTCCTCACTCACATCTGCTACCCAGACCCTGATAAGTGTTGTGGGAAACCTGCAGGAGTTAAGAAGGAATCAGGAGGAAAAGAACTGGCCATAACAAAAGAACACAGAACAAAAAGCTTCTCTGTCCCCTGAATTATAGATACAGATATCTTCCTTGAGATCTTTTTTCCAGAAAAGCAGGGTCTCAACATTTTGACTCCAAATAAATCATAAAGAAGACCTTTGACCTGTCAGGTGCGCTTACCGTCAGCTCCTGCTTGATGCACTCAATGGCGGCTTCAAGTGCCCTCGTCCCACGGGTGGCTTCATCCTCTACTGCCTTCACTGTTTTGAGGAGCGACGTCACGTTGGTGACCATGACCTGTCAAATAAGGAGCGCAACGATGAGACCTATAGACAAACCAGGAGGTGGAGCTCTTTCTCCTCAATGGCAAAACATATTACATTATCATTGCTTTTCTCTTCAATGATTCTTATACAGAGAAAATGGTGTTGAGGGTGCTTATCTAATGGAGATAAAGACGGAGTGGTGCATTTCAAATTAAAATACAGGATTATTAAATACTGGTAATGTAGTTTATTTACTGTCACAGATGTGGAAAAAAAGCGATTAAAATTTCACTGACTCATGGCGACACATTCTGCTCTGTCTGTGCTGTATTCAAGCGAAGTGTGCATTATGTGCTTGGGAATTTGAGAAACGCCACCAGGGGTTTGGAAGGGTCCCATTTGGAGGTCACCATATGTTGGATGAACTGAAACAATCTGTCAACATGAGGTTGTCCATGGGTGGGCCCCAATTCAGTTTATATGAGAAAACAACCCCCATTTGGACCAGAAGTTTATTTTCTAAACCAGGGGTAGGCAACTCCAGGCCTCGAGTGCCGGTGTCCTGCAGGTTTTAGATCGCACCCTGGGTTAACACACCTGAATCAAATGATTAGTTCATTACCAGGCCTCTGGAGAACTTCAAGAAATGCTGAGGAGTCATTTAGCCCTTTAAATCAGCTGTGATGGATCATGGACACATCTAAAACCTGCAGGACACCAGCACTCGAGGCCTGGAGTTGCCTACCCCTGTTCTAAACCATTGTTTCCAGACCAAATATTTAAAAAATTTCACCCGTTCCATTGTTGCTGGATGCCTGTTGGGTGTTTTAGATATTTAATACCCTTAAAAGAAACAGTAATAGGGGATGCATAAATTATAAATTAGACCAACAAAACCTCAGCTAACTGATTCAACTGATTAGTGTTGATTACTGATTTTATCTGTATTTGTATCCTCTTCATACATAGAAAAGCCATCCATCAGCTTGTATTAATATAATTTATTTTTGATCCCTTTTGCAATATGCACACCACATTAGATGTGCACCACCATCTTCACTGTATTTTTACATTTTATGACACTGTGAATCTTCTACATTGTGCCTGTGTCTTCCTTCCACTGATATTAAAGCCGGTACAAAAACCCTGCATTACTGTAGTTCCAGCAGTGACAATGCAGAACATCTTGTTATAGTTTTCAGTAAAGCACACAGTCCCCTCCCTCTCTCTCCTGCATAGAAAGTGATGGCTCAAGTCCCACAGATACGACAAATCTTACACATCCTGATAACAGCTGTCATATCCTCCTTGCAAAAAACAGCTTCACGCTGCATTGCAACCACATATATCAAACTAGAGCAACAATGCAAGGAGAAAATTTATAAATACATATCTACATGGAGCATCCTCTCTGTGAGCGAGACTCAGCTGAACAATAAATTAAAGATACGCGCCACAAAAAAAATAAAGAAAGAAAAAAAAAATCACTGCACAGCTAAACAGATATGACAGTTTGAGTGGTTTATTTCCTCACCTTGGCAGCACTCTTCAGCTGATACATGGAGGGGTCGTCAGCTGGTTTGCCTGCAGCACATTTGGTGGCACCAATGAGTTCGGCCAGAGCTTTGGCCACATCCCGCACCGCGTTTATCAGAACCACCTGGGGGGATAGAGCTGGAATCAATACAGCACAATGGTCAAAGTAAAGGTTTATCAGTTGAGCCCTAGGGAGAGGATTTACCACTGCAGTCCTTATCACTCCCACCTTGTCATGATACTTCAGACTTAGTGGAGGGTAGAGATAGAGACATATACACAGGGGAAGGAAGAGACCATGTTTATCAGATCAAACTGCAATTATATAGAAAAATCTTACATACTTACTACTATCTACAAGAAAGATAGTAGATGACTAACAATAGAGTACCATATTATGATGACTGCTGAATTATAAAAGTGCTTTCTGGAGATAAATATATACTTTTTTAACCACTCTATTTCAGATTCTGATTACCTGTGTCTCTGGGTCCTCAGAGCCCATACTGGTTGCTCCCAGTTTGACCACTTCTGTGAGCTGAGTGATGGTCTTTGCTGAAGACTGGGCAGCCTGGGCCAGTTTCTCCTGGGTTGACGCTGCCCCAGCAACCAGCAGCTTGGTGTCTTCCACTAGTGCCTTGGCTGTCTTCAAGATGCTTTCCCTAAAGGATGGGACACATTGTGACACAATCTGCTCCAAAGTCACACTTAACAGCGATAGGAAAGGAAGCCATGACTGCTTTCTGAGCAAAACTACTGCACATTATGTGAAATGCAGGTCAGTATTTAGCTTTATTGGCAGCTGCATTTCTTTCAAGTGAGTCATCAAAACAAGACTGAGGCTCAAGTGTATGGAGAACAGTGTAAGTGCAGCAACTTAAAGATATAACTCCCATGTGCCGCGAATCTGTAAATCCATTTCACATTTTTAACATCTGAAATGGGACTTTATGGTAACAGGAGGTTTAGAGTTTTGGTCTTTGTCTGAATGTCTTGCTTGTGTCTCATCGCACCTGTGGTCTGCAAAGGACTCTTCATTCTCAGGGTTAAGTGTTCCAGCTGAGGCGAACATGATGGTGGTGTCCAGGTCAGCAATAATTCCAGAAACTGCGCCTGCTGCAGTGATACAGGCCTGAGTGCCTTTGTTTCCTGCTTGTAGGGCTGAAAGTACCAAGGACACCTGGAACATGCATGTGTTACAATAGTTAGACAGCAAGGTCCCTTAAACATCTTGTTAGAAGGCGTAAAACAGCTAAAAGTTAACCTTGTTGATATATTGTGCCGGTTTAATGATTGTACAGCAGGTGTTTTCTGAGACTTTTATAAGTGAAATGAGTTACCCTGCAAATGTTCAGAAACATCTGGAAGATATAGATTAAACAAGGAAGCTGGGAATAAGAGGAATGGGCCCCACTAAACGTTAAATCAGAGTCTGCTATTCATTCACATTAAGTCAGTGAGCCTAATGCTGCAAGTCACACAACTCCCTCGAAGACTCGTGTCTGGTCATCACTCATAAACAAATGGAGGGCCCTGAGGTGTGCATTTCAACAAGGCACAAGCTTCACATATCAACAAGTGTGAGAGCACAAATTATTCAAGACTGATATGAGCGCCGAATCAAATCATTTCCTTGGAGTGAAGACAAAATGTGTGAGCAGCATGGCTAGAAGCTGCCAGGGTCACAGCGTGGAGACATTAATATTGTCAACTGCACAGTGTGAGGGTGGTCAGAAGAACATGGCCTCATGAGTGCTACAATAATACAGTGAGGCGACACTAAAATTTGATTCATTTAATCTTTTTTTCTACAAAATGTAAGATTAAAAAAATAATAATAATAATAAATTATTGTATTATTATATATTACTGCACAAGCTTATCTTCTTTATAGCTTTATGTGATTAGCTATAATTAAAGAATACAGCTATAACACTGAGCAATGATTTAACCATTTTGTAAAATGCTAAAACTGAATTCATGTTTCATGTTACATAGATGAGATTTTGAAAGTCAAAATAATGTGGAAAATTAGCTTTTTCCCCTGAATGAGCCGTTTAGGTTTCTATCCATATCGCTTACCTTCTCTGTGACTGCACGGGCGCACTCGATGAGCTCCCGTTTGGAGAAGCTGTCAGTAGGGCTGAGCTGCAGGGCTCCAGCCTTCTGGACCAGGTAAATACAGCCATGGCCCAATTCTTGCACCCGCGTCTTTATCTGGAAGCCAACCTGAAAGCATAACCAGGCATCAGCTTCACTGCAGCCATCTCATTTGTGTCATTATACTACACAATAATCTCCTTAACTGGCATCTCTCTTATCGAGCGGGTGGGTGATAAATGATTTCAAGCACCCTCAGAGAGGGAATGCTGGCACTACACCTTTAATTTCCAGACTGCAATTCATGGGTGGGTGGTACTTCATTACAAGCATCACTATAGGCTTTTAGACTTGTAGAGGCAAAATGTCGCTATGGTAACCAGCAGTCTGTTATATACAAGATATTGATAAGAGCGGTGTGCTTATTAGTGCAATATTTCCACACATTGCTGTCCTCTGGACAACAGAGAAAAGCTTTAAGTCAAGAGTCCGTGGGTGCTGCGAGAGACTGATGCTGGAGGGTTACATTTCTGTTTGATCTCACATTGCTGGTGCAGCCTTGAGGAAGAGGCGTCATATCAAAGAACACCAAACATCTGCTCTGATCAGTGTGTGAGCAAATACATCCGGAAGCATTTTGGTGTAAAATGCAGACCTATGCTGATAACTCAGTCTGACATTTCTGCAGCACAATTGCTAAAAGATGCAATGAATAATGATTTTTTTTTTTCCATACAGGAGTGTAATGTTCCCCCCACATCCTCCACAAAAAAGAAAAAAGAAAAAAAGTGTTCTCACCTCCTCTGGCTCTGCAGTGGCTGCAGCAAGGTATCCTTGGTGTGCCAGCTGTCCGTAGTCCACCGTCACCTGAGAGGCAAGGCCACCGAGCTCTTCGGGGCAGGTTACCGACTTAGTCATCTGCGAGAATATGCATCAACTGATTAATGTTCCTTCAGCACTATTGTCAAACATTGGCATTGAAGATTTAATGTAAATACTGCAGACGTGAGTTACGCATGAATATTGTAATGCATTTGCATGCTCACCATCTCCTGTGCTGTGATGGCAATGGCCTTAGAAAATTTGACCATGGTGGTTTGGTAGTCTACAAAGGAACCCTCGGGTTCAGGGGGTGTTCCTTCAGCCAGCTGTAAAGATTAAACGGTAGCTACAGATTTGGTTTAAGGTGTATACATAAACAAATATTCACAAATATGAATTAGAAAATCAATAACCTAATTTCGCTTAATAATGAACAATACAGAGTTAGTTTTATTCTGCATCATTTGAAAATCCTTTAAGTGTATCTTGCTTTGTCCATTGATGCAGGTTCCAGAAAGAAATGGAAAATTTTTGCACACCAGACAGATCAGGCTGATCATTAAATATGTAAGGATGATATGCTATCTGCCTTTTTCAGATGCATTTGTGCTCTGAGTCCAAAGAGAGAGCGCTGAGTGTTTTATTTTTTCAGCTGGAGAATGTCCAGTGAATTAGTAAATATGTTGGTTGCAGTGCATTGACAAAGTCAATAAATCTTAGATAGACAAAATACTTGTAATGTCCTGGATGTCAGATTACACCAAAACAGTATACAATTTTTATTCTTTACTTCACATGTGAAGGATACATATGAAATTTCCTACAATTCCTACAAAAGTCTACAATGAATAGATTAAAAGTGCTGTGCTGAATTTGCTAATTCCAACCTTATTTCTTTCCCCTGAAGCAGATACAACCCCATTTGTTTCACAGTTACGTGTCAAATGATATATTTTTTTAAATGTATACATTTATTAAGCCGTTTCCACTTTGTGTTCTTCACGGATATTCCATTTTCTAGATAACATGCACATTCTAATTAAAAGTGTAAAAGGCACAAGAAGGGAAAAAATAGATGTTTGCTGAACTGGGCCAAGTGCTTTACATCTGAGTTTGCACATGTCGCTGTCAGTTACTAACTAGACTGTCAACACACATGTCCTCTAGCAATATGACTGAAAACTAACATCACCAGTGGGCTGTGGATTTTAAAACGTGCCATCTTCTGGACTAATAAGAGTCATAGACAAGCACACTCTTTCAGAACACCCACTGTGGTTTTGAGAGAAAGCTCATTCTGCTTTCAGACAAGTCGGGGGTCAAGTGGCAACTTGAAATCCACTCAAAGTACCCAAGAAACATTCTCTTGAAACTGAATGACGACAACAACAATCTTTACTCACCCTGCCCATAGCCTCAGCGATGGACTCTACCATACCCCCAACCATGCCGCCCTCGCTCGCTGCCTCATTCAGAGTCACCATGATGTCGTCAACAGCCTCCTTCATCAGCTGGGCTGCTTCATTGATGGCATCGTGTGTGTGGGATGCCTGAGGACACGGGCAGCTGATTAACGTTACTGTGACGCCATCTCGGTTTAGCCAGGAGGTAATTCATCAGCTTGACAACAGCTCTACAGTGCACCTCAAGCTAGTAAGAACTCAGTGTCCAACTAGAGGACGTGTCACCAGGCTGGTTCCTTTCTGATTTAAGAACAGACATCATCCCTGCTGGCTAATAATTCAAACTTAGTCTAGTTTGTACAATTGTAAATCTATATCTCAGAATGTAGCCATAAAAATAAAATTATAAAAGCCTGGGGTAGTCAGACAATCTGATAAGGAAAAAAAAAAGCTTCTAAGGAGCTCATTTCAATGTTTTATGGCTGTAATGATGGCAGCAGAGTTTGAGTAAAAGCACAATCATTTCAGAATGGGATTAGAAGTTGTGCAATGAACAGGTTTAAAAAAAATCACTTAAATCTTAAAATCAATTCCAGCACTAATATAGAAAACTTAAAAAGAACTCCTGAGGCTTTGTTCTGCTCAGTTTGATAATACAAATGGTTTATAGCTGAAAGAATTAGAGAAACTGTGAAAGAAGGGATTCATTAATGTGCAACAATGAATGGACTGACAACGATGGACAAAGATGTTCCATTATTTTTGAAACTCGTTGTTTTCCATTCCATTACAGCTCATCTCTGAAGTCAGGCAAAACACAGCATCGACACGAATAGTAAAATTGACTCTGTGCACTACCTTTGGGTTTCCCCCGCCTTCCTTGGCAGCATAAAGCATCTGCAGGGCGGACTCAGCAAGCGTCTTGGTCTGGTCCAGGATGGTCATCTGCTGCTGATGGTCATGCAGCTTAGAGGCCAGGCCCACCGATGCCATAATGAGTGGCTCAAAGTAACTGGCCAGCTGGGTTACCTGAGACAAAGCATTTAGGACAGTAGTCAGAGAAAAGTTGAACCAAAACATACAAAACTGTGTGTTTGCCTCCTAAATTCAGAGGGAATGAAGAGATACACTGTCAGACTAGCACCTTGTGTCCTAGTTGGGCAGCTTCGCCTCGGGCAGCTGTAAAGACTGGATCAATGAGATGACCAATCTCCTGTACCGAGGATGTCAG